TTTCGATTAATTTAGGTTTATTATAATAAAGTTTCTACTATGACATTATATTTAATAAAAAAAAAAAAAAAAAAAAATAACACTTTTAGTTTTATATTATAGTATAACTAATAAAGAATAGGTTTATATAATTTAATACACCTGTGCTTATAAAATCTAGTATATATAATATAAAATTAAAACAATAAATTAATTTATTAATTTAGAATTAGGGTTAGAGTAAAGTGTTTTAGAAAAATAGTACTATTCTAAAATTTTGCAAGTAATTTTTTTTGTTAAAATGCAAAATAATTCCATAAACAAAATTTTGAGCTACAAGTAATTTTTTAAAAATTGCTATTTTTTTGATTTTATATTATATTTAATTTTATGATCTAATTGGTTAATTAGATAGATATATTATAGTACAGATATACTAAATTATAATAGTCTAAAGAATAATATTTTTAATAAAAAAAATTTTTTAAAAAACCTTTTTTTGCTCTTATATATATAATTGGCCAATTATAGAATGCAGGTGTATGAAATTTTCAAGTCTATAAAGTAAGAAGAGTTTTCAGACATTTACCAATATATAATTTTTGCATCTACCAAAAACTACCTCTAGATTACTATCAAATTTTTATCTGTATACATTTAAAACCAATTATAAGATTAGGTGTAACGTAACACGATCAGAAAAATTCAAAACAAATATTCATTTCATCGAAAAATTGTATAGTAATTACTATTAATCTTCTCTAACTCTAGCATAGGCTCTAACTCTACTCTAAATGAACTTTAAAGAATTTTTCGGTGCGTTATACATAATCACGTGCCGGTGAAAATTTGGTGGCGATCTAGGGAAGATACCTACCAAATATAATCAACCAATCATAAAAAACTCTAACTAGGTAGGTGTAAAATCGGTAGGTGTTCTGAGATTTTCTCTAGTGAGATCGGATTTCAGATTGCACGTGATCTGCAACAGATCACATGACCCTCGCTTGTTTTAATTGGCAAATAAGCCAGAGATATAAGCTATATATCTGTATATTTCAGGCCTATAAACAAATAAATTGAGAAATACAATAATAAAATTTTTTGCAAACTATAATATATATATATATATACTGTATAACAAAAATATAACTCTTGACAATGGATTAGTAATTAGATATCCATCTCTAACCAAAGCCACATCTTTGCTAAAAACTTTGATGTAGCAAACAGTAACCAATAAGAACCAAGAGTTTAGAGATGTTGATATCAGGTAGAATATAACGAGAGGTTTAATAACATCTCCGTAATTGTGACACCTAAAGTTTGTTGTAACTAATAATCGAAAACATTCAAATTTTTAGCTAATATAAGGTTGGTCTTCTTCACCTTTGACTCGTTCAGCTTGCTTCTTGTTTGTCTTGTGCTGTGCTCTTTTACGCTTATACGAGCTTCTAAAGAAATTTCAAAAAAACCTAATCTATTTAAAACATATCCTGACATTTTACCTTGCTTTGGCTTATTGTGCGAATTACCGTTTTCCCACCTTTTTTGTTTTTTAAACCGTCAAATTGTCTTCAACTAACGCCTCATCGGGGGCGCACAAAGAAATCATCATGGGACAAGCACAGGACAAGTTTGTGGACGAGCAAAATGAAGACGGTTCACAAGATTCTCCTACTGTGGAAGACTCCGTGATTACTGAAGCAACTTTTACCGTGGTTGCGTCGGAATCTCAAGTTCACCATGATATTAGTTTCTCACCGCCTTCTATACAAGACACACAACTAAAAAGAACTAGTTCAAATTCTGTGTTCGGTGATATAGATCCCAATGGCATTCGAAGTGAAAAAGGAAAATTTTTCGCTTCAGATGTCAATGGTCACATTGATTTGGCAGAGAATGATGATAATTTTACTATTCACCTAACCAGCTCCACAATAGATTTTTCAAATAATTCACTCGCGAGTTCCCTTGCGAATTTAACAATTCGAGATTCTCCATCATTGGATAGTATAACAACAGCGTCTGTTGTGCAAGCGACAACAGTGAAAAACACACATAATAGCTTATCTAGAACCATTGATGAAAATTATAACCCGGCTGTAGAGGAAACATCCGGTTTAATTAAAATAGCAGGCACAGCAGAATCAACTCGTAAAAGGACATCTAAAGACATAAAATCGACATTAGCTGATGAAGCCGAATATACGATACCACCAGCCATTGCAGAGGATGTTTTACGAGAGATGTTAGCAAATAAACCCAGTCAGGATTTACTTGAAGAGTTGGAGCAACCAGCTGTGGTCACAAATGGAAAAGGAGAAAATTCTTCATCAAAATTTAAAGGCGATTCGGTAAACCATGAGAAAAATGGTGAGTCCTCTGAAGCGAGCAAAAGTAGTAACAAAAAGAACAATTTGTTAATCTTGTCTGGCATGATAGATTCTCCTTTTCCATCCAAATTCATATTTCTTCTAAAAACTCTAAAACGCCAAACCAAGTATTCTTTTATAACAATCAAACAATTGCTCCCAGAAAACCTACAAATATAATTAGATATTTAGGTATCTTCTATGATGGTAAAGGATCAACCAAACCAACTCTGGACATATTATATAACAAA